GTGTGTGTGTGTGTGTATGTGTGTGTGTGTGTGTGTGGTTTTCATTCGTCTTTGCTTAATTCTCAAAAGTCAAGTGCTATTTTCTAAGATTACGTCACCGCAAGTTAAATATAGGATTAAAGGTAATGCATCACATAGAACTTCATCTACTATCGTGATTTGCATTTTTAATGACTTTTAATAGCTATTTCGAAAAAAATATATATGTATTATGGATAATTTCTGGTAATTTACGTGTCATCACTTTTAAAACGCGGAATTTAATGTTCACTTTTATTTATCTTATTGCCATAATTTCCCTTGAAATTTCCATAGAAATCAAATCTAATTGGTTGCGATGTTGTCATTCACGTCTGAAATTTTCTGTGCGCGCGCTCTCTCTCTCTCTCTCTACCTCTTGCAAGCATGATTCAACCCACTTGGGTGTAACCATACTTGAATTTTCCAACTTTGAATTCAGGTGCACCTCTTTCGTGTGTCAAAACTATTACCCCCTATAAAATTGTCGTAAAGCCCCATCATTAAAATGAAATTCATTACCCAAAGAGATGACATATCACTTGATATATACATATATACACACACATTTGTATGCATATATTTTTACAGTCTTCCGTTCAAGTAGAAAGATCTTGAAAATTCACAAAGAATGAGAGCGCGAATGTAATGTGGATCACCCTTCCCTCCGTTTTTCAGTAAATGTTATTCATTGTTAGGTCGGTGGGAATAGGACTAAACGGGCATATGCTTGCCTCAATTAGAGATTAATGTGTGTTAGATGTGACCAAAGCTGGAGAAACTATTCATAGGAGAAGGGAGTACAATTAAGAGAGAGTATTTATTGATTCATATCAAATAGCCGGCGTTTTGATAGCTGTCATTAGACAATTAGTTGTTTTCAGGCTTCACAGAGGGGAAGAAACATCAATCACAAAAATTGAGTGGTGGTGGGGGGGGGGGGAACAGAAGAATGATTCACAGATTCAAGGGTATAGAAAAAGGTGAGGTGAGTACTGTAAGTGGTGAAATTTGACATAAAGTAGGGTCATGGTAGTTTTTAGTCAGGAGTCAACTGTCGCTTTATAGACTTTTTGTCGTATGAGTATATGTTGTCCAGGGCGCACCACGTGGAGGTAAGTCCATCGCACACCCCATTGAGAGCATAAGAAGTTCATGTACATTGGTCCTGTCTCCAGCTAAGATTAGCTCCCAGAACTAATTTCGAATTATCAAGTACTAATGAGAGGGAGAGAGACGATGTCCCCGTTGAGGTAAATCAATTTTGAACCAAAGAAGGCGTTCATTTTATTGCAGAGGGAGAGGGGGGGTTTCCCATCAAGAAAATTCGATGGTCAAAGTTACCGATCACATTTTATTCTTATCAGAAAGAAGGCCGTTCTTTCGATTCATCTACTTATCACAGTTCATCGAGCGCAACGATCAACATGAACTGAAAGCTCGAGTTGTTCGGTGTTTCAAGACTTTCTAAAGACAGGTGAGGCTGAAACACAGTTTGGAATGTCATTGTCTGTTTTAATATTTGATTCCATGTGAGCCTCTTTACAAGATCTTTGATAGAGATTTAGTCTAGAGTATTCTGAGCTTAGAAGAAAAGAACTTAAATCTCTAATCCCTTGGACCAAATCTCCTCTCTCTTTCTATAAACTACATACTCTAAGCCATTGGCTATGCATCAACTTGTAATATTAGGATAATGAGTTCTATCTTTACCCATGAAGGAACTTACTGCTTTTATATACTTTAATCAGGGTGTGTGATAGACTTACCTCCACGTGGTCCACCCTGGGCAACGTATACTCATACGGCAAAAAAAGTCTGTTACCTGCAGTTGACTTCTCATTTTAAACTACCATGAACCCACTGTATGTCATATTCGACTACTTTCACAGTACTCATCCCACCTTTTTCCACCTTATCTACCTTCGTCTTTGATACACTCTTCTGTTCCCCCCCCCCCTCTTTAATTTTTTACACTTTGATATTCCTTCCCCTCTGTGAAGACTGAAGTCAACTAAAGGGCTAATGTAAACAATCAAAACGCATGCCATTTGATATAATAATAATATACTTTAATCATTACTCGAAATAGCTATGAGTTCTAACATTCATAAAGTCCCTTTTACTTGTCTCATTTTAATGTTCATGGGTGCAAGATGCTAAAAATCAAAGTGGGTTGACGAGTTATACGAGTAAATTAATTTACACATCTGCTCTCTTGAGGTCAAGCAAGAATCTATAAGATCAAATCACGACTACGAAACCATAGACACCTTCGGAAATTACAAAGCGAAATAGGCATTTTTTAAGTTCCATAACAGCTCCCCCAGCATTCAAGCCAATCAATGTTTTTGACAACCAGATTTCATTGTGAACGCCTCTGAAAAAATTCCAGTCGCGACTTAACTCACTGCCTTGTTTTTCATGCCTTTAGTTTCTGTACATTGATAGAAAAAACTTACATTGTCATAAGTTATAATTGCACAACTGTTCAGCCTTAAGTGTTCGGTCACGAATGGGCTTATTATTTGGGTTGAAATATGTGATTCAAGGAAGTTCAAACACTAAAAAGTCTGAAATCTTGCTGGAGTTAAGTTCAACGTGTTTTATTTCTCTGTGATCAAAGGGTACTCGAAACACGGACTACGGATTTTACCTTCCCCTTGCTTGCTTGGCAAAACACCTTCACAGATTGGGAGTATACACTCAACCCACATGTCCTCTATGTAACCTACAGGAGGAAATGGAGAAGACCCACCTGATTTGGTGTCCAGTTCTAAAGACAAGGACGGAAAGCCAGAGATACTTGGAAGCAAGAAGACGGCTAATGAACTGCCATAAATGTACCCTCCACCAAATGAACTGCTATTAATTAACTGCTATATATGCACCCCCCACCCCTGGGTGTAATGAACTGCTATTAGTTAACTGCCATAAATGTACCCTCCACCATTGGGGGAAGCTGAAGTCAAATATTAAGGGCTAATGATAAATATCATAAGGCCTGCCATTTGAAATAAATAAATACCTTCCCCTTAACATGAGTTCACTTTGCTAATCTGCCATGATTATTTAGATTTCAGTTTTGACAAGCTCCATGTAGATACTTCGTTCTTTCTTCCACTTTTCTATGCCGTCAACTCGACCTTATAGCATAAATCAAGTGAATGGTAATACAGTTTGATAGCACTATTCCTACAACTTCAAATGTTCAATCTTACCTAGAAGCAAGCAAACAAACAATATACAGGTTCTTTAGAACTAACTTAGAGTCAAGTAACAATAGATATAACTTAACCGTCTCCTTTGCTCATGAATTGGATGGTAGATGGTTGCTATTCAACTCAAAATGAGCTCATGTCTACACTGATAACAATATTTGTACGAAACCAAAATGTGCTTTAAAAATTATTACCATTTATGCATCAACTAGAGGTAAAAATCTCTTTCATTTTTACCAATAATAATGTTAATTTTAATAATAAATGGGTTAGAAAAAAACACGTATAATGGAATAAATAGTGGGAAGAAAGAGAAAAGTGTGTAGGAGGAGAGAGGAGGAGGAGGAGGAACGACGTGGAAGTGGGTAGGATAAAGGAACGTTGAGACACAGTGACCGAAAGAGATAGAGGTAGGGCTTCGTCACATGATTGTTAACTTTTTTTTTTAATAGTAGAGCGAGGTAGTGCAAACGCAGTAAAAAAATAAAATGAATCCCGCCCCGCAAGTTGAGCTCACACCGGTTCGCCTCCCAAAGTGGGAAAAAGTGAGAAGGAAGAGTGGGGTACAAGCCAACTAGTGAGTGACAAGGTGTAGGGAGAACACGAAGGGAGATTTTGGTTGGTTGGGGGTTGGTTTGGGGGGGGGGGCGGAGGTTTTGAGGTATATTTCTTCTTCGGTTCATGTGTCTCTCCCCCCCTTTTGCTAATTGCTGCTGCTGATCTAGTTGATCGATCAATGAGCTGAACTAAATGTGGGGATGTAGAAAAGTCCCTCCCATAGGGGCTCCATACGCGACTGCCGCCGCTGCCGTTTGAATTGGCATTGCTGTCCCGTTGGCATGGAGTAACCATTCTGTCGGATCAGCTGATGTCTGAAAGACACACACACAGAAAATTACTTTTGTCAGTGTTTACCTGCCATTAGTATCTACTCATGGCGGGTGCAACGATAAACATTCTAAACTGCAAGTCAGTTACTCACGAATTCAATTTTGCATGAGAGCAAGAGGAATGACAGAAAAATACTGTTTAAGCAGAATTGAGCTTTCATCAGAGAGGCTCTATAATGGTACTTCTCTACATCCTAAGTACTGAGAAATATTATTTCACATGGGTTTGGCAACTGTTATTCTTGTAAAAATAAATAGCAGTCTTATTTCATGCTCAAAGCAAAGATGAGATTTCGTCAATGATCCAGACGAGATGTTTCTTCGTCACTAAAAGACCGAGGAGATCAATGCAGAAAAGATGAAATCGATAATGATGACAATGAGAAGTACTTGGATTTCGCTGAAGAATGAAGAGGAGGAAAGCTAATGGCAAGGCTAATGGAAATAATATATGATGAAATCAAAAGAAATAAAGGCATTTTTTGGCTGATTCAAATTAATTTTAAATGCCCATTTATGCTTTTACTAGGAAGTCATATTATGATATGGACAGCTAAATCATTTGAAAAATTAGTTCAACCACAGGAGTTAAGTTAGATGCCTTTCTAATGAAAATAGGAAATTTGGCCAAACCGGTTCGAAATGGCTTGGGCGGGTAGTTAAATCCTAATCTACTGAAATTTAAATAGTAGCAAATAACTCATAATTACTTGAATATGCGATATAATGAAAATTGATAAATTCCAAGCAATATTTGATTGTTATTTTACGTGGTATCTAATTTATTATTCAGCTTTCTCTTCTGCAAATCCGAAAGTATGAAATCGCTACCAAATTTGCTGCTATCTTGTGATTTTAATCAAAGCTGTTTTCTTCTCAGGTTATGACTAGCAAATACCACGTCAAAAATGCATGCACCTTGTCACTTTGAGTCTTGCGGAAAAGTTTCAATGACGAAGAAATTGGTTGCAATGAAAAACACAACTTCACACATACACACCTACAAAAATTAGATGAAGGTGAATAAAAAAAAACTGTGAAAAAGAGGGAATCAGCTGTCAGCGGGGGGGGGTCTTAATGGAAACGTATTCGCAAGGCAGTAAAGTTGACTACACGACAGGCAAAGAACAAAGACAAGACAAGGCGGTATTTTGTGCTCATGCGACTTTGTGGCCTTGAACTCACCTCAAAATCATCCTGAGAACATAAGTGCTCCTGTTCTGATCGCCATCCTAACTGCAAAAAAAGCACCAGGTGGTATAACTCAATCTGCCTGTAAATCGATTTGATTCCAAATTCATCAGGTTATAAGATTACATCCACCTTTTTTTCAAAATCTTCACATCGAAATCTCACTGAAATTATGATGAGAAACTGTGCAGGTGGTCTCCCTCCAATAGCTAAATTAGTATAATTAAATCTTAAGACTTGAGTCTCATGCTCAATTCCACGTTACAAGCGTACGTGTTCAGATTACAAAATCGTTTCATTTCGTGCACTTACCACATTTTGCCATTGGCTTGCCATGGCTGATATTGTTTGACCTTTGACCGAAGGCAGGGGGTTCTCATGGCTTGGAGGAGGTGGAGGAAATTGTATGGAAGGACCATTTCCTCCATTACTTCCAACATCGCCATTATTATCATTAACTAAAGACGTGTAGCTTTGGTGATGGCTGGGTGTATGAGATTGTTGAGATTGTTGTTGGCCCAAATGCTGATGATATTGCGAGGGAAACTGGCCATAAATTTGGTAGGAAATCATTTGAGCTGCTGGTATTTCATTGAGTGTATTAGGGGCAAAGCACTGCGATGTTGGAACCATGTAGTCCGACTGGACTTCATTCTGTTGTTGATGTGTTTGCTGAAGAGACAGAGGCGTCGTTACAGGTTTAACTTCCCCCAAACCACTATCATTCTTATCCTGCCCTGGGGACCAGCTGTCAAGTCGAGCAACCTTGGGAGACGTCGGTTCACAGTCGTCGTCGTTATCACCATCATCTTCCTCGCTTCCACAACCTTCTTCCTGATCTTCATTCTGATCCAACTGTCTTACTTGACCGTTTTCTAAAAGAACACTCTCCTTCTTGATTACCATTGTACCTTTGGGAGACAATGTCTGGTTATCTCCCGGAGGTTCTCTTTTTCCGCTAGTTTCTTCGAGATTATTCTCCATCTTCCTGTCAATATTCCCAAAGAGAGAAGCTGCGGGAAGGGACTCAACAAAACCGGCAGTTTGAGAGTAGTTGAAGGGATATATGACTGATGGATTCGGAGCGCCGTACCCACCGGTTGCAGAGCGGTACATACCGACCTGGCTCTCTAGAACAGCACCGAGTTGGTGGTAACTGGATGTGGTGAAGGGGTGCTGCATAGCATGCTGTTGGCCTTGATGATGTTGTTGATGATGGTGATTATGTTGAGAAAGGTGATTATTGTGCTGTTGATGCTGAAGAACCAAAGCGTGAGCTTGCTGCTGTTGCTGAGCTCTCTGTTGCTTTTCCTGCTTCCGATGCTTTGCTCTACGATTTTGGAACCATACCTGAAGGAGATATTTGAGTGAAAGCAAAAAATTAATTGTCTTCCTAAAGATCGTCACTTATTACAACTCGAAATTTAAGCGACTTCAAACGTGTTGATGTGTTTTGAATGCTTAAAGGTTGAAAAATGCCATTGTCATACTTACATTTTACCTCTAATTCACAAGTATCTTACCAGAATATTTTTGTTATGGTTTTAAGAATCTTATTAGAATCATCAGCAAATCATATTTAAATCGATATTTATTGGCCCGGCTGCCTAGTCTATCTGCAGAAATCGTGGTGAAAGCTACTATCTTTGCAATAAGTAGCTAGTAGTATCAGAATAGGCATTCAAACTACTCGGAATTCATCGCTAAACAATTGTGCTTTGGGGGGGGGGGGGAGGATGGAGGACTTTAACTAAAATAAGGAGCCCCAATAAATGTTAAAAGTTTGCCAGTTTCGCAGTTATTATTTCTTGGTTTATTATTATCGCAGTAAAAAAGTAACTGGCATTCGAAGAAAAGAACTAATTTTTCACACCTGCTTCCAAAATGACTAAATAGCCAAAGTGCGTGTTTTGCAACTATGATTGAGAACTCGAGTTTAACTTGAGCACTCAGACGTAATGGTGGAATTTAATGCTCGGCAAGAGCATTGACCTCAAAAGATTGAATGTCGGTTTTGCTTTTGTCAAACTATTTTGCAGCGGCTAGAGACTGCTTTCTATCTCTCTCTCTCTCTACTTTGCTCGGCAATTTTCTCAGTTAGAGGCCTTGCAAGAAAACAAGACTGCAACTCTAGTCAAGCAAATTCAACGAGTTGTAACCGGCTCTGAGATGGCAAAAAAACCTTTCACTCCGCTTGAATGGCAGTTTCAGTCGTGTTTTCACCTCGCTTCACGTTGACCTCATTTTTCCATTACATTTTCTCTCTGACTTGCAAACAAAATAACTCCCGAAAATATTTTCATGGTGTAAGCAATCAACTGGCAACTGGCTAACTAATGTCACCTGTCCTGTCCAATTATGCGCCTTATTCTTCAAACGCAGAGAACGCTTTCGGAAGCTGATCAATAGTTATCAAGCCATGATAAAACTCTCCCCTCTCGGCTAAATTCAAATACCGGTTAAATGAACGCTTATTAATCCAATTCAAAGAAGACATGAGTTAGTTTTAAAGTTCGAAATACTACTGATTTAAAGGAATCTTAAATTTTGGAAAACCAACACAGGGCAACCTCAAAAGGGCATTTAAATATTTCGTTAGACTTTTAAGTCAGTTAATTAACTCAATGTCGACTTCTGTGGAGCATTAAAGTACAAGGCGTTCAAAATGTCGAAATGCACTCCTCCTTACCAATTGTACCAATACTCAGGTTATCTTTAATATTGCTGCTTCATTTCGGAAAATTTTAAGTTGTGAGTCTATAAGTAGATCGGAATCTTTTCTCTTTAATCATTTAAAGGAAATTACTCCATTAAAAGGTTTCTTCAAAACATTTAAGCAAAGACGAGAGTTGGTATAATTCCTGCTTCGAAGATTTTGTAGCCAGTTCAGTCGTCCAAGAACCAGCTTTTAAGAATCATATGAAATGCCCCACTTTAGTCTAAAAAAGCTTATTTCTCTGAATTTACCTGAATCCGAGCCTCCTGAAGCTTTGTTGTTTTCGCGAGATCTTCTCGGCAGTATATATCCGGATAGTGAGATCTGCGGAAAGCTGATTCCAATTCATCTAGCTGTTCTTGGCTGAAAGTTGTTCTGTGTCTTCTGCGAGTTGGAGTGGAGCAAATTATTGAGGTAGCTGAGGCGGCACTGCTAGAATTATTCTGTTGCTGGTGATGAAATTGTTGCATCGCAGTTGAGGTAATTGGCTGAGGAGATGTATGCTGATGGGTGTCCACAAAATGGCCTGTCGTCGTTGTTGGAATAGTCGGTGAATTAATGGAATTCGCCGAGCTGGATCCACCTGATTGTGAATTATGATTGAGACAGCTGTTTGAACGAGTTAGAGCCAAAAGACTGTCTGAGGAGAGCACTAAAGAGGGGTTTGAAATTCCACTGGTGTTTGCGCTAGATGAGTTTATTACACTTGAAGGGGTTGTATTGCTTCCTGCAGCAGTTGATGTAAAATCCACCGGAGTGCTAGAAATATTACTGAGTGGAGGGGCGGAAGTCGGCTGTTTTTGAACCTGTCGATGGTTTTCCGGTTTTACCGAGGGCGAATTTTGCAGATTTATTGGCAGAGAAGACAATTTTTCTTCTAAAAATTTACAAGGAAAAAAAACGCACGCTTGTTAAACGCTTATTTAATTTGCAGGCTAATTAGTAAAAAAAGTGATATCGATTTTTAATTAATCATGTCTCGTAAAGCATAAAATCAATGCCAATAATCAAACGCGAAAGCTGCTTTTTTTGAGGTTGAGTGCAGCAAAAAAAATTTTAGTCGAAAGAGGAAAGAAAGGAATGTTCCACCAACGGTGACATGGTATGTGGTGAAAATAAGTCAAGGAATTTCGGGGTTATTCAGTTGACATTTCACAGAATAACGCTAGTTCTGCACTTTAATACCAGTAAAGAAAAAAACATATGTGTAAAATAGAGGCAAAGATTGCCAACCGTTGGCAAACATGATCAGTGTCATTCCTTTTCAGAAAAATAAGCCTACTTGCGTCTGTGAGTGAATCTTGTGAGAGAGAAAAGCATAAGCCTAAGTCGGATTCATTTTCAAATGCGCAATGTCTACCATTGACAAGTTTGAACAGGTGCATTCAATGAACGGAACACCTCGGTGAACTGCAAATAGCTCCATCCTACCATTTCAAATTCTACTTAACTATGCTGACTCTGTCCTTTTTTATACGGAATAATGACTCCTTCTAATGACCTGTGTTAGTGAGAAGCTGTCTGCCGTAGGCAAGCAACAGTTTGGTGAAATTTGTCTCCTTTGGGAATTCATCCCTTTTCCGTAAAAATGAAAAGCCTATCTTAATGGAAGCAAAGCAGTCCTTTCAGTTAGGACGCTATTTATAACTAGAACAAAAGCAGAATTAAAAAAATCCTTGAAACATAATATCTCAAAGGGACGAGCAATTTCTCATAAATCATTATTTTAAATAAATAATACATGAAAATGTATATATTTTAACTCGCCTGCTACTGAATTCCGCCTTAAGGGATTACTACTAGCTTCATTAGCACTAAGGTGAGCAGAAAGCATTGGTGAATTGTGGGGTTGATTATCGTTTCCCATATTTGGAAACTGAGTACTGGAGGATATAAGAGGTTCGGGAGAAGTATAATATACAGCTTCACCGGTAGATGGAATATCACCGATTGAGCTCCCTTTCCCACTTTCATATTGATTTATGGTTTGGTACATTGTCGGAACGCCGAGTAACTCGCCGGAAGTCGTATCGGATAAGGACATAGTTCGATTCATTAGTGAACTGGACGTGCTAAATAGTCTTAATCGATTGTCCTTCCCTCGTAACACCAAGTCTGAAAATAATTATGCCATCTCAAGTCCAATAACGCTTTGAGCAAGGTTCAAATTTGGGGCTACCCAAAATCCATGCCTCTGATTGGCTCTTCGAGTCTGCTTTCTATTGGCTGCCCATTGACGCGTGCTCAGTTTCTGATCAATAGGCTCATCGTTTACGCTTGCACGCTAATTGGTCCTTATCGCGATTTTCACTTAGGCGAATAACATACACTTCTAATACATTCGTACGTGTAAATCAAATCTTCATCTTTAGGCACTTGATAATAATTTCAATCTATTTCATATATAAACAAACGTACTCGAAATTTTAATGATTTACATAATAAATTCACACGCCTAAATTTTCAAAAGAGGTGTTCATTCGAGCTGAGTTTGAGACTAATTGGCAAGTAGATGAACTTAGGCAGCTAAATTAACTACATAGTAAATAGTCAAATAGTCAACCCGTCAGGTCATAATCTATTTTAATTGCTTAGGCTATTTTACATAAGACACATAAAAATAAATTTAGAAATAAACCTTATAGTGCTCGGAACAGCATTAAAAAATGATGAATCGCTATATATATATATATATATATATATATATATAACCATGGTTTACTTAAGTAGCACCTATGGAATGAACTAGTTATAAACCATATTTAATTTTAAATTAATTACAACTAAGTTTCCATTTTCGCGGTTAATCACTGCACATGGTGTTGTTCTACTTCATATCAGAACTGATTCAATGAATGCAACGAATGAATGCGTTTTATTATCATCATAACAGACAGATCTTCGCCAAGAATTGTAAAATTGTTTTCAAGGAGTTTGGACTCGTCTAAACGTGAAAAAATGCTACAATCGAACAGGTGAAATTCTAGTATGTCATTAGGAGGATTTTCTTGAAGGTAAAGTGATTTGTCGAATTCTTACATAAAAATATTTACTTAGTTGAAATATTCAAATGCAGATATAATCATATTTGATTTAAAAGTGAAATTTTAATTACTTAAGTTACTTTTATAATCAAAATCATACCAAACATCAAAAACAAAGTGAAGAAATATTATCTTTTAGAATGTTAAAATATCAATTAAAAGTAGTTAAACTTCCACATTAAAAGTGAGATAAATTACGTATTCCACTTGTGAGTTCTATCAGAAAAGCCGCATATTTGTCAAAATATGAAATACTTAGCTTATTTTCACAGATAGAAGACATCAATTCACAGCACTCAATGAACCTTTACAGGCATCCCAAAAAAAGATTTATGTGTCTATGCTGTTCTAGGCCTACCGTGCTTTTAATTGTATTTATTTAAAAAACGATATATCTTTTCTAACCAACTTGATAGAGTTTATTAGTCATAATTATCTTTAAATAATATGATAATAGACTTTATCTATCCTCTTTTATCTATTTTTAATCGTATTTATCTCATTTGATCTTAACTTTTATTTCATATTTTCCTTAAGTGTATCAAGTGATACAGGTGGCTGATTGAATTTAGTTGAGTCAATTACAAGCATCGATTTTTTTAACAGGTTGCATTATACGTCATTCGACTTTCCAACAATTAAGGAAGTTTTGGACGCAATATATAGTAGTTTGTTAAGTGGTGCAAAACACCTGTTTTTTTTAAATTTCGCTGGGATCAAACCTTATTAAAACAATCGATAGAGATATGACGAAGCCAAATGTAACTAATTAGAACGCGGTGAGTTTGGACAAATTGAGTTAGTATAGCAGGAGTTCAAAATTTACAGTTTAAAAATTTGGAAAGAAAAGGGAAGCCTGAAAGTGATATTTAATTACAAATTATTATTTTAAATTAAACAATATGCACTAGAGTTGATAATTTTCTATTACATTTAAAGTTTTGTAATCTTGCCTATTTAATGGTATCAAATTTATGGCATTTAAGTTAATCTCTGGAGTGTTAATTACCATCGAGAATTCCAAAAAACCTTGGGGTGTTTATTTCGTTGACTGCTGTGCCTTCGAGTCATTGTCATAAATCATGGTAATAATAGTCAAATGCCAATCCTTCTTGGATTGAAAACCGTGGAAAAAATATGCATTTTAATTGAACTGTTTGATGTCGTGTAATTAATTAAATCAGTAATTTAATTTATGCTCATTTCAGACTTTTTTGGCTGGAAATACCACTTGTTTTTTTTCTATAAGTTAAATGCACTCAATTTTACGGATTATATCTCTAAATAATAATCGAAAGTGATGAATAGGGTGGCTATTTTGGGAGAATCACTCGTAATAAAGGATGTTAAGGTAAAATGCTTCAAATGAATATAAGGAAATCTTACTTTCACTTGCTGCAAATGTCTTTGCGTGCGATGGGAAGACAGAGCTCTAAGGGAGACGATGTTGAAAGAGGGTGTTAGATACCAGGAGTGTGAAAAGCTTCTCTGAGGAGGGAAACAATTCATCGCGCCTAGCTTTTACCCAGCGTAATTGGATTAACACTCCATACCTAGAGTAACTAGAGGACATGGTGCTCTAATTCCTGCCAACTGAAAAGATCCAACTCCAGGCGTGAATACTCCTCTCTCTCTCTCTCTCTTACCTCCTCCCCAACAACTTTCATTTGATCCTTAATCCTCACTCACTCACCCACCATGTATGAGAATTCATCATTCTCAAATGGGGAAATTCAAATTAATTTAAGCAGTTAAGTAATGCTAAGCCGATCTGGCTTTTTTTTGCTTTGAAAATGTGAATATTGGATTAAGCAGTCTCCAGTATAAATATATAGAAAATCAAATATCTCCTAACTTCTGCACTTCTAAATAAGTTAATTCACTTAAATTATAAGTAGAACGTATTGAGATTAAGTGCAAATATCCAAGATCTTTAGCTGACCTCGCGAGAAACTTTATCACTTTGAATGTCCTGGCTTGTTCCGATACACCTTTACAACTTTAGATCTGCAAGGATTAGTGGTTTAATTGGGAAAAAGAGCGATGAATGGGTGAACTCTGGTGGTCACCGACATGTTGACAACAAGTCTGCTTCAATGCTTCGTTCTGCTCCATTCGGAGAGAAGACAAGAATAAAAATCTAGAAAGTGCATAACTAATAGTGCAACCAAGTCATACTTTAACAAGCTCTTAAATGTAATCAGCATAATGCTGCCCTCAAATCATTGCAGTTAGGCGTAGAGGACACTGCCCATGTTACATTGGGAAGAACTTAGTTCCTAGAATGCGAATGGGGCAGAACTCTTTATGCCATACATTCAAGATCGACTTCTTCTTCGTCTCCATTCCAGAACATAGTTGATTGCTCTGATAATTCCTGCCTCTGAATATCATCCCATGATTAAGGCTTATAAACCGATCTTGTACAATGCCATAGTCAAAAACAATAAGGCAAAACTGTGCTCATACTTTACTTATTTGTGCTTAGGTTGTCAAATTTTGATAGCTCTAAGCCATTTACAATATTGGGGTAGAAGAGTAAATTTTTTGATACGGAAAGCTTTTATTCTAAGGAAGATGATAATCATCAAATGGCATATAGATGATTATTTTAAGATATCTAGGCATTTGAATACTCAAGAAGATGACTACATATTACCATTTTAAGAATTTGGGGTATTTTTGATCGCGAAGTTAATGAATAGAATTCCACACTTAGGTCACTGCGAAGTCCTTAAGGAAGAGTCAACATGCGAAGCAAGCTGATTTATGAGTAAATTATTTATTTTCCCAAACGTCGAACTATTATTTCCCTATAACTCTGAAAAAGAAACCATCGTTTATTTGGGAGTATTTACGAATTGGAGTATTCGAATGAATGTAAGCTGATGGTCCTTTCAAGTTAGAGGAGTAATCCTTTCCAGCAGCTCAGTTTGCTGAAGAGTGTCCCAGTAAGCGGACATTAATACGCATGACGTCATTTCGAAGTTTTTGGTGAAATATTTCTTATTGGAAATACTCATTGTCTATTCAATAATAATAATAATACTATATAGTACTGTTATTCCTTGCGTGATATTAGAATAGTAAGTTTGAAGTACGGAGCGTTTAAGTGACGATTATTCCACGAAATTGGTTAATTAGGTTGCATATACATTGGCATTTCATTTTCCTATTACCCTTCTAATAGTAGGGTTAGTGAAAGAATGACGAGATTTTAGCAGAGCTCACTAGAGTTCATTGAAGTTGAAAGTTCACTTTTTTACCTTGGTGTCTGCCTCTTTTACATCTTTGAAACACTCTCCTGCTCCCCCCCTCCCCTCTCGACTTCTTGTCAATTTGATGTTCCTCCTCCTCTCTGTGAAGCCTGAAGTCAACAAAGTGGCTAATGATAACTATCACAACGCCTTTCATTTGAAAAAAAATAAATAAATTTATTGATTCTCATTGTTTTATGCCAAATCTGATCTTTCTTGTCATTGCTTAGAAAAACTTAAATCTCCCAAGTAGTGCAGTGAGACGAAATGAGGTGCACTGTTAGTCCCTAAACCCCAAATTAGACCTTCCACTTTTCTTTTCTCTGGCATTGTCCTGTTCATCATACACCTCGGTCTCTTTCTAAGAAAACAGCATCCGTGAACTGTTTGACGTTATGCTCAAACCTAAGTATCTTTTGTAGGCACATATGGCGAACGAAACTTGCTTACTTAATATTATGTCTTATTGAATTTTAAGTAGACAAATACGCTGAAAGAACACGAGAATTTGATCTCAAGAAAGAGTCGCACTAATATGATCGATTGTCAGCTTCCTTATCGTCAAGTAATACCTCAACACGATGTATAATTAGTAATTAGTAATATAAGGACCCAGAATCTGCAAGTTAATTGAAAGAGAGGAATCAGTAATTCATTTAATTTTCTTTTTAGTAAAGACCTGGTAAAGGCGACTCAAAGTAAAAAGTTAATCGAGCACATAATTTGACGAAAATAGACACGAT